TACAAAAAGCCAACAACAACCTGTTAACTGCCAACGGGGAGAGAACAAACGTTGCCTCTGCAACTCCAAACATTTCTCTCCCCTGATGAGCTCCAGCTGGCCGCTTTTGAAGGGCCGGCTGATGAGATAAAAAGTCCCAGCTGCTTGTGCCTGCCGCTCCGGCGCTCTCCATGGTGCTGGAGTAAGGACAACATCCCAGAGCGTAGCTGTCCGTGGTGCTGCGCTGCTGCACAGGGAACGGCGCGGAGCACACCTCTGGGCTTCAAAACGGCAGCGGCCGTAACAGTACAAAAGCATAGATTTTAAATGAATTTTTTTTTTACTTTTTGCCAGTTTTCTATATAGTTGGATAAAAAAGCAAATAATTTTTTTAGAAAGTTTTTTAGGTATCCAGTAAATATAAACTATTTATAACATTCCACATGTACCTTTGGTTATCTGACATTTTTCTACTAATTTTAGAAAGTAGCAATATTTTTTTTATTAATATTTAAATTTTGTCTGGGGCCCATAAAATTATATTTACCAATTTTTCTTGAGAAAAGCTTTGAATCTACTGATTCTAAAACAAAAGCATTATATTCTGCAGATTAGCATTGCCATGTGAGAATATTTTGGTAATTGTATGAATATTTATGGATTTTTCAAGATTTTAAAATAATTTGATCAGTAAGTCACAAAATGAAACTCATAGTTTTTGATGAAAATCTATTAACTCTAGGGACTTTATCAAGTATTTCTTATTCCTGATATACTGTTGATGTAGATAATTGTTTGGTAATCTTTACGTCAAATATGGATTTTATAATAAAGTTTTTGTTTTGGTCAGTTTATTTATGATTCTCAAAATATCTTTTTTTTATTCAAAAAGATTGAATTTAGAAACAATAAAACAACAAAACCTGATTTCTCATGACCCCATGATGATCCAAGAATATTTAGGAAATTTCTTTAAAAAGAATACATTTTTAATGAATTTAATAAACATTGTCAGTAATATTGAAATGGTACATGGCCTGTATTTATACAGCATCTTAGTAGGGTTCAACAACCCTCCGAGGCATTAAACAACACAATCAGTCTTTTACCCTTTCACACACACAGTCACACACTGGTGGGCATGACCTCCACTGTGGCCACAGCTGCCCTGGGGAGCGCCGAGAGACAAGGCAGCATTCTCTGGTCGGAGTCGGGATTGAGCACACAACCTTCCGATTACTGGAAAACGTGCTCGACCTCCTGACCTCCTGCTGTCCCATACAGCACATGACTTAATTGACTAAATGTCCACAATCTTTAAAAATTAAACGATGGAACTGGATTGTAATAGGTATTGAAATGCCAGCCATACCTATAAAAGAGTTTCGTATAGGCTGCGCAAAAGGTTCAAGGAGTTACCCCGAGTGTTTGTTTCAATGCGCAGGTTGAACTGTGCTGACGGGATGCTGGTGGGAGTAGGGTTGTCACGGTATGAAAATTTAACCTCACGGTTATTGTGACCAAAATTATCACGGTTTTCGGTATTATCGCGGTATTTTTTAAACGGTGTTGCATATGTTCAGAAAGCATTGATAGTCCTGTTCTACACAAACTGAAATAGTTTTGAAAATGTTTAACAGTGTTTATTAAACCTAAAATAACACAAAGCCTTAGCAAAAGTGCAACTTTTCACAAGTAAAGGAACAAATAGCTTATTTTTCTGGAACATGTTACAGTAGTCAGTGCAGGTTTAAATTATACAAATCCAAACATTCAAAACATAAACAATATGTAAACAAATCAAAGAAACACCACTTGTTTTCTCATATACTTGTTTTCTTCATTATCAAAATGAAAATCTAAAACTCCAGTCCACACTTGACTTGAGCACTGTACAAGTCAACCTTAAAAAATATGTATTTAAAACAAATAGCCACTTTAAACAAATTACTAAAATAACTACTACACTATGTAATCAAATCCAAATGTTCAAGTATAAATGGCATTGAATAAGTAAACAAATCAATGACAAGGAACTAATTGTATATTTCTCTTCATCATCAACAAATAAGATGCTTCATCCAGCAACAGGGTGTCTGTGACACGGTTTAACTGCTGGCAGAGGACGCTGCGGCTGCAGTATATAGTGACTCGTTGCATTCTCCCTCAACCAAAAGTCCTCACGTCATGCATTTAAGCTAAAATGCTAATGTTATCTTACCTTGCACTGGCTGTAGAGACGTGGGTGATCGTCACACAGATGTGCCATTAGATTCGAAGTGTTACCTTTTGCAGACACTTGTTTCCTGCACGTTCTGCAAACGGGATAGCAGTCTTCTATTAACTGTCCCTCAGCATTTTTCAGAAATCCCAAATATGCCCATACTTTCGATTTAGTCTTCTTTGAGGGCGGATGGATGTCCTGGGCGCTGCCGTCTCCTCCTTCGGCCATTATTTCAGCTTCAAAGTTTTGGTGCCGTTGCAAACTAAAAAGTGCGTGTGCGCGCCGCGGGAACTTCAGCTGAAGCGACGGTGGCTGGTAAGGGTCACCGCGCCGAAACCGCGGCCACGGTAAACCCACCGAGATAATATAGTTTTTTAAAAACTGGACGGTTATTTTTATTGTCAACTTTTTTACCGGGGTTTACCGCTATACCGGTTACCGTGACAACCCTAGGTGGGAGAACGTGTTGTTGGGGCGGGGCCACGTGAGGAATGGCGAAGGCGGGGCGGGGCCGGGTGGGGGACTGGCGCTGGTTGGCTTGGAACCCGTTGATAACTGCTTGCAGTTCTAGTATATTCTTATTTCTATTATACATACATACTTTTTAATTATCATTTTCCCATGACTGTTATCAGGCTCTCTTGTTCTGGTTCTCATGATAATTCCATTTCTTCCAGTAAGTTATCTTGTGCTAACTTCATCTGTATAATGTCTCTTTACTTTTGGTGAATTGTACCGAGTCCAGAGTAAAGGCTACTTGGCTTTACAAGATACAAACAAGTATTAAGTTTTTGAAATATATTAGCCTGCTAATTTATCTCAGATACTAATAACTACCGTATTTTCCGGACTATAAGTCACACTTTTTTTCATAGTCTGGCCGGTCCTGCGACTTATACTCCGGAGCGACTTATATGCCAAATTATGTAGGCTATACTGCGCTGCTGCTGCGGGCTGGCTCCGGACAAGGAATAAGCTCCCCTGCCCTGCTGGGAATAAAAAACACACAGCCATCACCTGCTGGAGCCTGTGGCGTGCCGTTGCGCACTGGATCCGGCCCAGGTTTAAGCTCCTCTGCCCCGCCATCACCTGCTGCAGCCTGTGGCGCGCTGCTGTGGGCCATCTCCGACCCAGGAATGAGCTCCCCTGTCCCACTGGGAGGGTTTCAAACACCGCCATCCTCTGCTGGAGACTGTGGCTCGTTGCTGCGCCGTGTTGTTTATTCTGTTATTGTTACCAGTACTTGTCTTGCAATGTGAAACGCTTGGTTTCAGATTTTGTACGAAAAATAATAAAATTTCCCCCCTTATATATGTGTTTTTCTTCTTCATTATACATTTTATGGCTGGAGCGACGTATAGTCCGGAAAATACGGTACGTTAAAAATATTGAAAACTTGCTCAAAGCAAAATATAATTTCATTTTCTCTTCCGGCACTCGCAGAGTACAGACGCTTCTGCTTTTGCTCCCTTATCTTTTTCCCCCAAGGCTCTTTGTCCTGTCTGCCCACAGAGCGCTTCTCTGCATTTCTTCTGAAAAACCCTATTTTTTAGAATGGATTTAATTAATTGGTCATTCAACGTGATTGACAAGATTTTTTCTACGATGAGAACGGAGGAAGGGGCTCCCACTTGCCCGCAAGGGACACACGCAGCGGGATATATGCTCGATTCCTGGAGGGAGTGGAAGATTGTATGCCTCTCTCAGTTGTCTATTGAGGATGTCGAAGATGTGTGGATATTTGGCCTGATGATCACTGGATTTCTTCTGATTGGAATGGGAGGATATCTGGTTTTCTGGAAATTTGGGAAGACGGGAGCGATTGGAGGGCGACCCACACCCATGGAAAGCACCGTCCGTGTGGAGACCTCACAGACTGGGACGTTACTCGAGGTGAATCGTAAGCTGGTCAGTGTTCTAGCTGCGATACCGGTATTAGTGCGCAAAATGGATGTCATCTCAGAGACGGTCACTGGACGGTGTGGAGATGTTTAAACCCTGAACTGGCTTCACTGGAGGACTTGAATGATCAGTTACAGACTTCAAGGCAGAGAGGAAAATTATCTCTGCCTGACCCAAACAAAGTCTTGTTATCCGAATCTGACGCCATGGCAGCCTAGTGAATGCCAACAACAAACCCCCACGAAGGAATGCAGACAGATGCTGTGAAAACCCGACCTACCCCCCCCCCCCCCCCCTCGCGCCTTCAGATTGGTGGGCTTCAGCCTGGCGAGGTCATCAACCTGCAGGTGTCATTGTGCTCTGCGCTCCTCCCAAGATCTCCTCCCACCTGTGGCTACAGTGGCTGAGCGCCATAGGGCTGCTCTTGCTGGGGAAACAGGATCCCACACTCAGCTCCACTTCTCTTCCCTTTTGTGGAATTGTCTGGGCTTGACGGAACCTGTGACACGGTCAAAATGGCGGTGGTGGCCACCTCCCATTTCTCCTCAAAAAACGTGTTTTTGGAGCCTATAGAAACCCATTGTCCATATATGTATATGTTTATGGGCTCCATAGTAGCAGCAACGGACAGCTGGTTTGACCGGCTCTGAAAGGCATTATTCAGAATTTGTAGATAGCGTTTTTTTCCTTCTACCAATCGCATAGTAATGTCTGGGCTTAAAAGCAACTCATTAGATTCAAAGTTATTTGTAAAAGTGATGCCTTACCAAAAATAGTAATGTGTTTACCAACATTGGTTATGTATATTACTGATTGCAAAAACACCCCTGGGCATTTTGTCTTGTCTTTTTACTGAATATTTTTCTTTTATATATTTCTGCTTGGTTCACTGCAGTTTCAAGGAAGAGAGAAGAGACGGATGAGAAACCTCTGCTCTTACATTTCCACAACCCTCAAATGAAAGACGGCGGTGTCCCAACCAGCAGCTTGGCTGGGCAGATGACAGCAAAAGATGGTGGAGGAGCAGAAACTATCAAGAACCTAGATCTGGACCCTAATGAAAAGGCATCTGATTCTTCAGAGATTGAAGTTAGTGGAGAAGATGAAGATGATGTGAATCTAGACTCTGAGCGTTCAGACTCTGGGCCTGAAACTGGAAACGGAGACCATGGCTGTAATGAGAACAAGTCTTTGGAGTCAGATATTAAGACCGTCAACAAATCATTTAGCTGCCCTGTGTGTGGGATACGGTTCCTCCACAAGTGGTCTCTTCAGAAACATGTGAGAGTGACAAGTCATTCAGCAGTAAAGTCTTCAAAGTGTTCGGTTAATACAAAATGTGTGAAAGAGAAGCAACATGGAGGCTCATGCAGAAAAGTCCAGAAAGAACCAAAATTATTTAGTTGTGATGACTGTGGGAAAAGATTTATCCAAAAGTCCAGTTTAACCCGTCATATGAGAGTCCACACCGGGCAGAAGCCTTTTGCCTGTGAGCTCTGTGGACAAAGATTAAGCCATAAACATAGTTTAAACACACACATGAGAGTCCACACAGGAGAGAAGCCTTTTGCATGTGAGCTCTGTGGATACAGATGTGCCCAAAAAGCGCATTTAAACACACACATAAAATTCCACACAGGAGAGAAGCCTTTTGCTTGTGACCTCTGTGAATACAGATGCACCCAAAAGGCAAGTTTAAACACACACATGAAAGTCCACACAGGAGAGAAACCTTTTGCTTGTGAGCTCTGTGGGCAAAGATATAGCCGTAAAAATCATTTAACCTGTCACATGAGAGTCCACACAGGAGAGAAGCCTTTTGCCTGTGACCTCTGTGAACACAGATGTACCCAAAAGGCAAGTTTAAACACACACATGAGAGTCCACACAGGTTATAAGCCTTTTGCCTGTGAGCTCTGTGGACAAAGATTTAGCCATAAACATAGTTTAACCAAACACATGAGAGTCCACACAGGTGATAAGCCTTTTACCTGTGAGCTCTGTGGACAAAGATTTTGCCATAAACATAGTTTAAACAAACACATGAGAATCCACACAGGAGAGAAGCCTTTTGCCTGTGAGCTCTGTGAATACAGATCTACCGAAAAGGGAAGTTTAAACACACACATGAAAGTCCACACAGGAGAGAAGCCTTTTGCATGTGAGCTGTGTGAATACAGATGTACCCAAAAGGCTACTTTAAACACACACATGAAAGTCCACACAGGAGAGAAGCCTTTTGCCTGTGAGCTCTGTGGGCAAAGATTTAGCCGAAAGACAAGTTTAAACACACACTTGAAAGTCCACACAGGAGAGAAGCCTTTTGCTTGTGAGCTCTGTGGGCAAAGATTTAGCCGAAAGACAAGTTTAAAGAGACATACGAGCATCCACACCAGTCTCGAGGGATTTATTTAACAACCGTACTTCCAAAAGTACTATTTAGTTTTTTATACAACCTTAATATTAGTGTTGCACCTCTGCTCAACTGTTGTTGATGAAGTCTGTACTCGGCCCTTGAGCCACCTCTTCTTTTGATTTTCTTTTTCAAATATCCTTTGTTTTTTAAACTCAGACCTTAACTAAACATTTGAGATGTTCATTCATGAATTCTGAATACAAAAAAATATTACTTAAAGATTAAGAAAAAACTGTTATACCCTCCTGTATTTAAGAAACAGACAAGATAACAGACACATGATGGTTGTAGTACATAACTCACTGCAATTTAAAGCTGTTAGATACCGGTGGCATCTGCTTTAAACAATTTATATGTATATAAAATAATAGCATACAATGTTGTAATAACTGCAGCTTAAAAAGAATGTGTCTTTATTCATTTGGATCCCCTAAGAAGAAATCCCACTGTGGGAGCCGAAAGCTGTGTTTGCGTATGTGATGTTTTACATCCTTTTTTCAGCCAAGTTTGACATCATTTCCAGTAAGAGAGCTGACCAGAGTGATGAGATGCATGTCCGCACCTCGTGGTCCAGCCGAAAGTATTAGATGTTTCCAGTGAAAGGACGTGTTTATCTGAGTTTGGCCACGAGCAGATGTTTCCTGCCGGGAAGGAGGGAGATAAACCGTTTCAATTCATGTGTATGTGTGAGACCCATTTCCTAAGCTATGCAGGAGTGACGTCAGTAAAGTATAATTGGTCTCTCATTCGATGGGAGACGGGCTTTTTGGAGATCTGCAGCCGAAGACTCTACGCTTTCTGGCTGATCGCTGTCCTAAAGATTGGTTTTGTATTGCTGTACTGTACAATAAAAGCCCCACGCTGTGAGGACAAACATGTCTAACTCTCTTGTGTTCTGATAAGGAAAAGAACCACACCACCTTAAAGGCTGTGGAGAGACAGCTGGGACTGTTGTCAAGAAGTCATAAATTACAAGGCAGCTCTGTGGCGACTCCATTCTCCTATAATAGCATTTTGCTATTCTAAGCAGGCTTAGGAATGTGCCTGAGGGTCTGAGTTTGGAGTATCCGGACGTTCCCTGAAGGTGGGTTCACAGTTCACTGGGGGTGTCTGGGACTGGGGGGATATTTCCCCCCTCTGGAGGTGCTTGGGTTGCCCCATGGGATGGACTACTGGCGGCTGTGAGTGGGGCACCTTGGAGGTCTTGGCGGTGGCCATGGGTCGCTGCCTGGCAGCTGCATTGCCCCTGGGTGGGGCTCGGGGTGTGGGGGTGGCCGGCGCCGTGTGGGGATCTGGGTGGGGCCTTGGGGGTCTGGTCCTGACATGTATGCCCCCGGGAAGAAGGCAGGAACATGCAGCAGTGCTTGGCCCGGGTTCAGGGGCTTTGGGTAGACCTTGGCTCCTCTGCTGTCCCGTCACAGGGGAGGGGGAGGTCCAGGAGGGGGAGGACCCAACCTTGCCTGGATGTCCTATGTCTTATATATTCTGGAAGTTGTGCAAATGCAGGGATGGGCGTAGATATTCTGCTGGGGTGGGGCTGGGTTGGTGCCCTCGGACTCCATGAGGATCTGCAATGCTGCTGCTTTGGGCCCTGGCAAGATGGGCTGGGGTCTCCATGCCCTGGATGGCATTTTGACAACAGAGGTGCCTATTGGTGCCAGTGGGGGAGCTGGCTCCCTGGAGGGCTAAGCCCAACCAGCCATTCCTCCCCATCTCCACATATTTTTCTCCTCCTGCTCCCTCACATCATCACACAAACATGCACATAGGACCTTTGGGGGTGGACCCCATATCCACATTCCTGTGGCAACCTGCCCCCCAATTTTATTTGCACTTAAACACTTCCACCACAACATTACGTGCAAACACACACTTAGGGCCTTGGGAGTGAGCACAATCAACGGCAGCTGGTAGGGGGATTTCTCAGCCTCCTCCCGAGTGCCGGTGCCCACTTCCAATTTTAAACTGCACTTAGACACCAAAGGCTGTGGGTGCAAGTGGGGTGGTGTGGTGGTATCAGCTGGCATAGGCCAGACAATGCCCACACTGCCCGCTCACCTCAGCCATGGAATATACCTAATCAACACACACTAATAGGCCATTCCCATTTGTACCTGGTCGGCCCGGGCCGGGTAGCATAGGTTGTTTACATATCTGGGTGGCCTGGTATTTTTCCGGGCCAACCAAGGCTCATTCTCAGCCCTTTTCTTGAGGGGTCTGCTTCAGGCCGACCAGTTCCAACACGCCCACTCTCCACCGATTGGTCAAGTGATGTGTTACCCTCCCCTTTAATCAAATCTTCTGATTGGCCTTTCGGTGTTTACATTTAGTATTTGTAGTGATGTCACAGAATCGCACCAAACTCAATCTTCAGCATCCGTTTTTTGCTTGTGTTCTCCAGCATCGACATGTCATCTCCCTGTTCGCAGACCTCATCTCCGAACCCCTGGAGCAATGAGGAGGTTAAAATCTTCCCCTCTTTGCTCGCCGACGACAGAATCCAGCTCGAACTGGACGGTTCTGTGCGAAATAAGATTTTTCAGGGTCTTGCACAAGCAATGTCCACCCACGGCTACGAACGCACCTCCAAGCTGTGTCGTGAAAAAAATAAAAAAAAACTTAAAGCTGAGTACAGGTCCGTCAAGGACCACAACAGCAGGAGTGGGGCAGACCAGCGGCACTGGAAATGGTTTGCCGACATGGATGCCATTGATGGTGAGAGGCCTGTGAGTAATGGCCAGGAGAGTGGCATGGGCACAGCCACTCCAGCTTACACTGGCCCTCAGGACAACGGTGAGTGAGCACTTATCATAGTAATTAATAATATGACCTCCCGTTTGTGCTACACTGTACTATAGTGCGGACAAAATGCTGTGCTAGCTTTGGGTAGCGCTGATATGCGAACAAAAGGCTAGGCTAACTCCAGGCTAGTTGTGGTATGCCTACTAGCCTAGCTTGCCCATTAACGTCTTTGATTAGTATTTGTGTTTGTGCATATTAAGTCATTTATTGTTTTCTCTTAATAAAAGATATAACTCTGGAACTGTGCGCCGATGAGAGCCAGGACGTGCCCGACACCGGGGACATGAACGCTGGGCCCTCATCTGGCGACTGCGGCCGTAGCTGCAGCCCAAGCGTCTCAGGGTCATCGGTGGACAGCAGACCAAGCTACGGTAAGTTCATTTGCAACAACAACATCAAAATATGACAAGCATGTGTAATGTGAGGAAGTATGGGTTTCTGTGCCAAAGGTCGTATTTGCCCGGCTGGGTCAAAGCTGGGTCACGCAGCACCTTCACCCACAGATTAAGACCTAAGCTGCCAGCAAGTCTGAAGGACTCCACAACATCCGAACACCTGCTCTCCAGAAGAAGGACTTCACACTGTCTAGTCATAATAAAACAGAGTCTTAAGCTTTCTTTATTTATTAATGTTAAATAATCATTTGATCACTTTGCTCATTATAAATGTTTTTTAATCAAATGAATGATTATTATGCTTTGGGTAATCATAATGAACTATAATCAATCAGTATACTTAATTAAATAATGCTTTTGAAGATGTTTAGCGATGACCTTCACACCTGCTCATACAGGTCCGGATCCACAGTAACTCAAAACACATTTGCTCTGACGCACAACAAGTTTGCTTTGGGAAGAGAAGTGGTTTCGGTAAGGAGTCAGAACGGAAGAGGGAGCGAAGTGCGGAACGAACGCCACGGGGAAAGGAGCCCTGCAGGCTCCTGTTCTCCCACCACGCTATTCCTGTCAAGCCAGACAGAACAGCTGAAATGAAACCCACTAAAGCAGACTCGTCCCAGAGTCTTTTGATTTCTGAGTTAATTTAAACTTGAGAACGCGCATCTGCCGAAACGCTTCAGCAATGTGTACCGAGGTCAACTCTGGACTGGACCGTCGCACACCTTTGTCTTCTCTGTCAGCCAAGGTGTCATCTGGAGAAACATCCTCCTGAGGTCCGGATCTAAAAGAGGGTCCTAAGTGTGGTGAGGCAGAACACAATAGATAGCGTTCTGATGCTGTTTTTCTAATAAGAACTAAAGCTTAATTGCAAAACATCATTTTTCACTCAGATTCACCTTCCCTCTCTCTGAAGCAATCTCAGACACCTGCATGCACGCATTCATAATTCCATCATCCTCAATCTTAGCACATCCAACACAAGGTCTATTTGAGCAAGCTTAAAATATCAACTGTTAAAGATTGTCCAAAAAGGTTGCCAATTTTGATCGTTTTTCCTATGATTGTCATTTCAAATCGTTAGTTTAATTTGAAGAAATAAATCTCTTAAAATTTAAACTTGCCTTTTCATTGAACTGAAACACAGACAAACGGATATGATCGTCAGTTTATCGATGAAAACAAATCTTTGAGTCTTCTTATCTCTATAACATTTGGTTATTAATTTGTTAAAATTAATATTCCAGATTATTATGTAGAATGGTTCATCTTTCATAAAAGAGCCAAGCAGGGGTGTAGCACCAAATTCTGGGCCCTAGGTACAAGTCTTCTAGGTGGGCCCCCATGCTCAATTACTTAATATCTCTCTTACACATTTTTTGTCATGCTATAAGACAAGATAATAAATATGATCTTAGTTTAACCTCTATATTGAGCAAATACAAATGCCAGCATAATAAAAGTGAAATGCCCAGACTTCACATATAATTATTTTTATTTGCCAACAATGTGTTCAAACAAAAATCCTGGAATTTATTTTCCAGTAAATGCCCACTGACGGGTCTTCATGTTAGCAAAATCACTTATATCTTTAAAGTCCAATCCTTTGACTAATTGGCTTTCAATAGAAAGAAGAGCTAGGCTGTTCAGTCTATCCTGGGACATTGTTGATCTCAAATAATTTTTCACCAGTTTCAGTTTGCTAAAAGCCCGTTCACCCCCAGCAACAGTCACAGGTAGTGTGCAAAATATCCTCAGTCCAATACAAACGTCTCCAAAAATGCTCTGTAATTGCATCCTGTAGAGCACATGTGTCAGACTCAAGGCCCGCGGAGCATTTTTATGTGGCCCGCGAGATAAATATCAAAAATATATTAAAACTAGCCCGCTGGCCGATTTTACCGCAAAGACTTCAACTCCCATGATGCTTTGCGGTGTCAGCGCGGAAGCAACGCGCCCCCTCCTTTGTGTTTTTTCCAGCCCGAGGCAGTCAGGGGTAGTTGGGTGTCAGCAGCTCCTCTGTCTCGGACCAACTACACTCCTCTCAGCGCCGAGTTCACTCAGCTGTTTTCTGATGTTGAAGCCCAGAAACGGAGATTCTAGCCGCTCAGTAATGTGTTCACGACTTAAAGAGAAAGTTTTCCAACTAACGTCCAGACAGAGCTGATATAACTCCAGCGAGCAGCGACACGCTCAAACCAGCACGACTCTGTGGTTGTGTTTCCTCCCCAACACACAACAACGTGGTCAAGCTGCTCAGACATGTTCATCAGCACAAACCTATGTGAGCACCTGTTGTCATCTAATGTTGTCATTATTATGATGAAGATGAACAAAACAACAGGAGTCTCCTCCTCAGCTCAGATCAACCCCATGATGCAGGTATCTGGCTGGATCAGGTGAGCATCACAGTAAACCAGTGGAGCAAACTGAGCTTTAAATATGTTGGTTTTATGCTCTTTTTCTGCTCCAAAACATGAAAGTTAACAGGTGAGATGTTGCATTTTCATTTAAGATAAAATGATAATTTTATTTTGTTGTTGGCCCGTGAGAAAAGATTTAACCTACAGTAAACAGGAAGTGGAAAGGCTGCAGATAGATGAATAGAATAGAAAATCCCTTTATTGTTCCTCAGTGGGGAAAGCTAGACGTCACAGCAGCGATGACACGTATTACAGGA